TAAGTGCTCCTTTAGGTAACCAGGTCCCAAGCCGTTAAGGGCTTTATAGGTGATAACCAGCACCTTGAACTGATCTAAGATCAGAGGCAACTATTTGTTAACTTTAATAACTCGACCTCCCCACTCGATCTGGCAGTTCCTGGGCACCACTCCCTGGCAAACTTTGCAGTACCATTCCACACATGGAAAACAAACACAGCTCCTCATCTCCGTGTTAAGAAAAACCCAACAGAATTATCAGGAATTTTGCTAAGACAACCATTAGCCATGATACGGAATGCTGAAATCTTCTGCCCGTACCTATCCCTGAAAACAAACCATGGCTTGTATACCAGCAGCAGAGCACCAAGAGAAAGCAGAGCTGGCTTGCTCATCTGAAAGACATTTCATTGTGAAGCGATGAACCCAGGTCCATATAAAATATGGGTGAGAACGTTGTAGCCCTCCAGATGTCCAGTCTATTTCCCAGCACAGGGGTGCTGGGGCCCATCGGCTGGGTGGTGCTGGAGAGAGGAAAGCTCTCGGGCATGAGTGGCGTAGGGGGCGATAAGCCAGGACGGGGGCGGGTTCTCTTCCACAGGAGGGCATGTTGCCAAAGCTGGAGTGGGCCAGTCTCTCTCAGACTGTTCAGCAAGTGCCGTCACTGGATTCTGAACAGAGGGAGAAGGAACGGGAGGGGGGCAGAACCTTCAAAGCCCCTTCAAGTGTGCCTAGTGAAGTTTCTCGAGCCCACTGTGAGAACCAGCCTGTTTTGGAAGGGGAAGAAGGGCTTTCCAGAAGGGGAGAGGAGCATCTGCCAGATCCAGTCCTTGACCCCATGGGGAGATGTCAGGAGAAATGAGCTGCTCAATCCGAGAGGCTTCCCTGTTTGGGCTGTCCTGCTCTCCAGCAGTGAGAACCGCTCTGAGAAGCTTGACTGAAAGGGGTGGCGGGAACACCGGGAAAGTTCCCAGCTCTTTCCATGAGCAGGGGCTTCCCTTTGCAAATGGGTAGATGGCTCTTCAGGACTCAGACAGTCCTGTAGAGTCTCAATAAAAGAACTGCAGTATAAAGGAGTGTTTTGAGGGTCAGGCAAAGCTCATGACAGTGAGGGAGAGGAGTTGCTGGGCAGTGCGGCTCCCAGCTGATTAGACCAGCTCCTGATCCAGAGAAGATCTCTGGGACAGAAGGATGCCTCCAACAGCTGCACCAACCAACTCTCTTGTTCTGAGGTTTCTACCACGGCTGGTTATTTTGTCCAAGTTCGTATGACACAACAAGCAATCATGGTAGGGAGAAACCCAAGAACAGACCACAGAAAGTCACAATGGCCAATCACCAAAACTAGATTAGGGCAAACTGAGTCACCCTCAGCCATCTCCTTGCTCACAGGCATTCCCACTGCTTGGGAACTCACGCCACACTTGCATTAGAAGGGATGTAAAACAGGGTGTCTCGGATTCCCTCTTAAACCCAGCAAGTCAGGGGCAGAGATAAGAATGTGTGGGAATTCCTGTGGCTAGAGACTCCTGGAAACTCAGTAGGCGTCCAACTCAGCTCGCATGGCCAGCATAGCTGTTTTGGTGACACACTGCTAAGGAGGAACCGTCTGTCTCTGGTTCCTGCAGGATGAATTCACTCCATGGAACTTTGAACCTCCAGGGAAGGAGTGCCTGAGAGCGACTGGGTTAAAGTATCAGCTCCAGAATGTTTGCTTTCACTATGCAGTTTGCTATAGAATTGCAGTTTGGTTCCTAAACTGACCATTTTGGAGAAAGCGCAGTTGCAAAACAAGCAAGTAAGTGTTGGACAAGAACCCTAAGCAGTTTCCCTGTTGCAGCTGTGGAAGCTGAGCAACGGGCCTCGCCCATCCCCTGTGCAGAAGTGGCCAATACTGGATCCATTCTGTCTAGCACTGAAAGGAAGGGATGCTCCATTCTTGGCTAGAGAACTGCATGCTGAAAACTGCATTTCACTCTTTCTAGTCCTGGATGCACACACAATACTGCCCGGTAATTGCTCCAACAGCTGGTGTGAAGGAAAGCCTTCTGTTACCCCCGCTACCCCATACGCACACGTTGCGCCCCGAGCCATTCCTTCTGCTAAATAAACAGAAAAGTATAATTAGCAAACTCTTTCAGTTTGTGACAATCATACGTCATGGAAAAAATTATGAGAAATCTAGTCATTTGGACCTCGCAGAATGTCAAAAGCAGCAGACGCCTCGAATCGTAAACAGATGTCCACCACATTTTTCTAAAACGCACAACGGAGTTCCTTAGGGCACCATCCTATGGAAGTTTGGCTAGAAAAAAGGTCCTACAGCAGACAGACAGTTGGGACACACCGAAAGTTTTTTCCCCTCCCTATGCAGGAATGGATCCAGGATGGTACCCTTAATTTGGAAGAACAGATGCCCTGACCATCCCTCATTTCTTTAACATCTCCACCCTTCCCAGTGTTTCCTCTTTTCTCCCTGCCTTTTACTTTTTAGGAATCTCTCCCCTCCTCCAAGGTCTTCAGTTCATCTATACCTTAGCAGGAAAACCCAAAACAAAACAATATTCAGTGGAGGACAACGTCTGATGCCAAATAATCAAAGATATTTCTGGTCCTTTAGCACTCCGCCCGTTCCTTCTGGTGAAGAACTTTTACACCAGAACAAATAGGTGTGCCAGGCTGGTATTTCACAACCCCAAGACACGTGTGATCACAATGTTTGGAGGAGTCACCGTTCTGCATCCTGGGAGGGGTTTTGTTTTGCTTTTTGTTCTTAAAGTGAGACTAACTCAAATACAAATGCAATCCACAATACATCTACCCAACAAAGCCCAATTACTGAAAGAAGCTATTGTTTACAGGATCCTTTTAGTTTTAAAACCCCAAATCTGTAAGGCAAAGCAGAGCATGCAACCAGTCAAACACAGCCTCAGTAGAAAAGATGCGATCAAACTCATTTTACCTTTCTCAGAGGTGGCTTTTCACACTGAAATGCCATTAGTACTTAAATTAAGCGAGCACCGCTCTGTATGTTAAACGGGACGGTATGATGGTATTTTTGTGAATTTAATGCACTACTGTCAAGGGAATACATTGTGTTCTTTCAGAAGCAAAAATAAGCAGGTCTTTATAACTGGAACATTACCTTATTTACATCAATCCCATACCAGTATGTTTAAATAAAGCAAATGCAACTTCAGCAAGGGTGCTCCTAGCTCCTTCCAAAATTTGTTTTATTTATCTGTTGAATTTCTATCCTGTCTTTCTGGAGAACAATGAAGGCAGCTTACAGATTTAAAACCCTGGGAGCAAAACAAATTGTCACAAATTTGTTTTGTTTGTTTTTTCAAGCTATAGTTCTAGTGTTTAGGAAGCCTCTGACTGACAGTAAACAGTCTACAGCTCATCAACACCAGGGTGGATAAAAATCAATTACTTTTTCCCAAAAACTCAGATTTTACAAATTTAAGAGAGAGCAAACGGAAAAGTGCAAAGGTGAGTTGAGATATAACTTCTTTAAAAACAGCTTTTCAGAGTGTGTTCTGAGAAGTCCTGGGGTTCCTTAACAACAGGGCATCAAGGATTCCTTAATGAGAAGATCAATGGCAGCGGAAGAATTGTGTGCGCTGTGGGGACTAACACAGGGCCATGGGGAACCCGAGCAGGGCTCCTTGTTCCTTTGCGTGACCCAAGTGAGCAACTTTGGACATACTGTGCAACACAAAAGACCTGCACACGCAAGCCGCTTTGCAACCCCAACGGATGTGGAAATGCAGAAAGCTGGGAGAGCAATTCCATAGCCTTCATCCCACATTGTGGAATGACTTGAATACCGAGAGTACATTCCGTACTGTAATTTATACAGCACTAGTGCTACCAATTTGTTCTTTTATAACATTGTCACAAAACACCTGGCATAAAACACCCCCAAATTTCAGCTTCCTACCCTTTTCAGTATTTTTTAAAAAGAGTAATGCCTGGGGGGGACAAAGTCACCCCAAGCTCCATAGGAATAGCTGGGCAGAGGGACTTTGTGACCCCAACAAAGTCCCTAAAAAAGCTACAATGCAAGCCACAATGGAATTCAATTCAATTCAAGACTGTGCATAATTAATGCTTAAACAGTTCTGTCGTGACTGTTGTACCAAGGAAAGCTGAATTTGGTTGGTAGTATAAATTAAACAAGCATGTACAATTCCCCTAAGTTTACCAATTTAATCTGGTTTCCCTACTCGATGAGGAAGGCATTTGATAGTTCATACCCAACCACTAGAAATATTGTTCAGCTACCTGTCTTCTACACTTTCAGAAAATGCTACCCACGTATTTCAAGCATGTATTTGTACCTTTAAGAACTAGAAGCTTGCTTTTTTCATTATTTTTTTAAGGGAAAGCCCTTAAAAAAGTTGAATTCTGTTCTTTTTCTTCTCTCCCACAGAATTGCAGAAAACGCAGAACCCTGGCAACATGCAACTGAGAATAAAATGAGGGGACTTTACAAGCTGTAAAGCTTAGGAGCAAGAAAATAACTCTTGCCTACAACAAATTACTCTACCATTGATTCCTACAAATTCTCTCTTGTATGCACATTAACTATCTTTATGTGTCCAACTTTGAACTCTTTAAAATTCAGGGTGGGAACACAGAGTGTAAATAATGACAGACACCTCCTTAAAAGTAGGTAGTTTCCTCCTCGAAAACGCTGTAAATTCTTGTGTTACCAGCAGCTCCTTTGAGTACAAACACATTTTTCACAAGCCACACCAGATTACCACTTGCAGAGGGTCTGAATACAAATGACCATTGCACTGAAGCGCACATCATGGTATTAAGGATGGGATAATTCATAACGACAAGCAGGGAAGGTAGCAGGTTGCACTTTCCCTCTGAGCTATAAATAGTTATGGCATTTTCAAGAAAACTCTACTCCACTGCACTAAGTGTTCTACATACTTTATATTTCATTACAGACACGGCGCTGAATCCAAGCTGTTAAATAAGTAATAACATTCAAAGCTTACCAAGTTTTCCTGGTTTCGCGCAGCTACTTTCTGATCATCTTCGCCACCATTTTTCATGTATTTGACTTCTTCCACAGGTTTGATTCTATACTCATCTGAGGAGGAAGTGGGGGAAAGAGGCATGTAAGAACAGTTATAAAGCCTACAGGCCTCAGCAATGAAAAATGCAGAAGGCTGAAAAGAAAAATGACTAGAAGCTCATGAACATTTCATAAATCCAAATAGAAGCCTAATGGGAGAGTCTTCTCCTGTCTTACAAATGTGGAAACATGACTGGGAGAAACAATTAATAAAAAAGCATGGCTTTCAAGTGCACCAGTATTGGCAAGATCACTCGGCATGTTGCTAAAGACCACATCTTTGATTGTAACTGAATGGATGTATGCGACAGATTTTCATCATACAACCAGTGAAATGGCAGAGGCACAGACACATTGCTTCTTCCAAGCTGGACCAGCTGTGGCCACAAGTGCCAGCACCAGTGGGGGGCAGGTTTGCAAGGGAGCCTGCTCTTTGGGTTCAAGGAGGCCCAGTGGCCCAGTGAGTTAAGCAACAGCGTAAGTTTGACAACAGGTCAGGGTGGAGCACCTTCCCATCCCTTCCCATAGTTTGCAAATTAATAACTAAAGTCAATCTGCTACCTTCTCCTAATAAAAACTCATGCAAGAATAGTTATGAAGGTGGAAAGCCAGCAGGGGTGCGAGGGCTATCCAGTGCATTGCACTAAGTGCACGTGTACGACGGATGGACACATTTTGGGGGTGTGCTTGGTGTGACCAGCAGGAAGAGGAACAAGTGGGTCCTAGAGCAGACCAAGCCAGAACTTTCCCAGAAGCAAAAAGATGCAACTCAAGCTGCTGTATTTCAGGCACATCAGAAGAAGGGAAGACTCAAAGGAGAAGACAATCATGCTGAAAGGCAGAAGGAGAAGATCAAAACCAAATCTGAAGTGGTAGTGATTCCATCAAGGAAGCCACAGCCTTGAGTTGACAAAAGCCAAGCTGGGCTGTCATGGACAGGACATTTTGGAGGGCTTCCGCAGGATCATCATAAGGCAGAGGCAACTTGATGGCATGTGCCAACAGCAAACACTGATGCATATAATCCAGGAGAGGAGCAGGGGGAACATGCACCGAAAGCAGGGTGGGGGACTGGGAGAGGAAATACCTATTCACACAGCACCAATCTCTTAAACGGCACATTGTGATTACCCTGGGTAACCGTGGTCTCTTTCCCTGAACATTAGTAGTCAATATCTTCAGGACAGGTTTATTGCATCAGGTGTATTTCTGTCTGTTGTGCTATGAAACATAAGCTGAAAATGGATCTTGCCAAAATGAACAATGACTTTCCAGAGGTACTTTGAAAAACTTGAAATATCTGTTTCCTGCTCAGAAATAGATGCGAATTGACTGTCCGTGTTAAGAGAAATACCCTACTAATTGTGGCCCTTTAGCAGTGTAATATAAACCATAGCAAAGAGAAAATATCTGTATTGAATTGACCCAGTGCCCTTTAGATTCAAGAACTGGGCCTATAGGAGCCAAATAGCTATTACTGTAGCTCAAATGGCAACTTTCACATTTGGTGACTGCTTGAATAAATCCTTCAAATGTCACTGAAGCTAGATTTCCTTTCTTCATTTCATATTGGTAGGTATACATACTAACAGATGAATTAACAAATGGACGATCATCATAAAACAAATCAAGCAATGTCAGGTCCAGTCACTGTATAGTATGTAATATACCTTATTACAGCATTGTTTAATAATTTAAAATACTTCATAGTTATTTGAAAATGTTTGACCAGCACACTAACCAGCTTGGGTGAAGTGTGCATGAAGCCGTTTACATTTTCTAACTGGAATTTTATATTTCAGAGTTGTTTCTTTATTTATTACACATTTTTATCACCATATAGCTGAAGCTCTTTGGGCAGTTCGCAAGAGTTAAACCAATAAAAATGATATGGCAAAATACAATTTAAAAACTGAAAAGTTACAGAGTAAAATAAAACTGAAATCCAACAAAACCTAGGAGTGCAAACATTTTAAATACAGCGACGGTTTAAACAACATTGGTCATGGCCTTTGGATGATGCATCTAATCTTCCACCTGATTATTAAGGTGACCTTTGCATTTAATTTCCCATATTTTCACTCAGTCCAAGGAGCATATAATACATCAAGTTCAGTTCTTGTTTTATAACCAATTATTCAAATGTTCTCAAAAATCTCAGTACACCTGCAAAAGTCCTTAATATTGCATGCAGAGATTGTTTAATATGAAAATGTTGGAACCATAACAAATGTTCACCATCCATCTTTATGATAATATTATATACGATTATTTGGGATTACTGCAGTCACAGGCATCCTCCAGAACATAAAGTAATTGATTTGATTTGCAAGATAGAATCCATTTGCAACACTGTATGGAACAAACACAATATTCCTCTTAACCTAAAATGTGCAATGGCACACAGAGGAAATCTAGAGACATAATCTGGCGTATCACGTAAGAAGTGCCTTGTGGGATCATACGAAGGGCCAATATAGACTACCATAATGGCCAGCCTTAGGAAGTTCATAGACAGTGTACCCTGAGGTTAAGAGCAGAATTTATAAACTAGATAATATGGAGCAGGAGTCAAGGTTAGGTTAGGTCAGATTTCTTAGGCAAGATGAGAGATCAGCACCATGGAAAGCTCCGAAGTGGTGCTGGGGCTTGAAGCTAGACAGTCTTGGCTTCATGTTATTCCAGTATAGATCGAAGGAAGCTGGCCTCTAGGTGGTCCGGCTTGCCTCTACCTCTAATGATCACCTCTTTTATCTTTAAAGAGTCCTGGTCAATTTTAGCAACCTCAGCTTGCAGTGACAACGAAGTGGTTTTAGTATATTAGTGACTTCATGGTACCATTCCTCGGGCTCTATGGGCACTAACTGTCCATCCTCTGTGTTTCCTCCGGAGAACCTGGTCCTTGGGTCTCAGTTTGTCTCTCCATGTCCTCCTGCTTGCCTCCAGAGTCTCTTCAGAGGACAAGGGATCAGAATCCTCAGAGGAGGATAGTCCAATGTTGCCTTCGGACAGAACTTGCAGCCTTCCGTCTCTTCCTTTCTTTTCCCCTGGAAAGTTATGTGTAATAAAAAGACCGCCTGATAATTTCTCCAGACTTGCAGACCCAGTGGCAGCTACGACAGGAACAAGGATGGGGAAACTCCCATGGTGATATTCCATCAACAGATATTATCTCATGCAACACATCACTAATGGAGAGAATGGACAGAGAACACAAGGCCACTGTTTTTGCCCCGCTGCGCTCTGTATCGTCCAGTTCTGTCCTTAGGTGAGTCATTTCTTTGCAGCCCTGCCTCTGCAACACAGGAATAGTAACAATGACCTAACCTGCATGTCATGTATCAGGAAGACCAAGATGCAAAGTTCTAAAATTAAACTATTCTTGTGTAGAACTATATGCGCCATAAAAACAAAAGTGTTAATGCTGAAAATTCCAGAACTGGAGGTCAAGAATTGCAGAATCAATAACAGGGCTGGAAGCGAAACAAAGCAAGTGCGTACCTCCCTCTCTATCTTTATGATTAAAGCCAAGATTTTCATGTCAGCTAATTTTAATTAATGTATTTATTTGAAAGATGTAAAAGCTGCTAGTTCAGGGAAACCCGCCCACGATGGCACACAAAAGCTAAAGCCAGAAAATGCAATAAAATGACAACAATAACAATAGTAAAATCAAAGTTAGCCATTAAAATGGATGACTTAATTGGAGAGTAATCTCCTGTTCAGAGCTGTAGCTCCAGGGCAGAGCCCTGGCCCCCCACATGGAGGATCCCAAGTTCCATCCTCAGCATCTCCAAGGAGGGTTACAAAAATCCTGCCTGACACCCTTGAGAGCTGTCACAAGTCAGTGTTGACAAGCCCAGCCTAGACTTCAACCGACTCAGTGGAAGGTGCTTTCGCATTCAGATCTCACTATATCAGCCTTCCTCAACCTGGTGGCCTTCAGAGGCATTTGGACCACAACTCCCAGAATTCCCATCCAGCAAGGCCACTGACTGGGAATTCTGGGTGTTGCAGTCCAAATATGTCTGGCAGGCACAAGGTTGGGGAAGGCTATACTGGATGGTCCAAGGGAATCTACATAAGCAATTATTAATGTTGATTTATCTACCCTGTTTTCTGAAAGATCACTAAGATGGTGCTTAACAGTTCAAATAAAAACCATCAGACCATGTCAAAATAGCAGAGATGCAACATAAAAACCCACTACTCACAATTTTAAAAGGTCAAATTAAATATATCTGTCTTAGCTCTTTTCCAAAACTATGAAAAGAACACAGATCGATTTTAGCTCTGAAGGGAAAACATGCCATGCTCTGCATGTAATGCAGGAGAAAGCCTCTTCACAGATGCTTGACAAGCACCCTCAAAAGGCCGTCTCCTGCACATATTAACAACCGGGGCCTTAAGCCATGTAAAGCTTTAAAGGTTATGACCAGCACTTTGAACTGAATCCAGAAAATTGCCAGCCAGTGCAGAACTTTCCATGTTGGGGCGATGCGATCATAATTCCGTGCACTCCTTGTTGCCACGTGCCGTTAAGCAATCTCCACAGTACGGCCAGCCCAAGGACACTCCAAGATGGCCTGTCCTTGACTGCCCTGCCTTCTTGCTAACTCAAGGTTGGGGCTGCCTTTAATCAATACCATCTCAAATCTGGTCTTTGTCTTCTTCTGCCTTCCACTTTCCCTACCGCTCCAGTGGGTTTTGCCTTCTCATGATGTGTCCAAGTTCAAAAGGGGTTTGCCCTTTATGCTTCCGGGGAAAGTTTTGGTTTGTTTTTCTCTAGGACCCATTTGTTCATCTTTTTTCTCAAGGTATTTGTGAAGTTCTTCTCCAGCTTGTGGTTGTTGCTTAGTCGCAACGTTATGCCTGACCCATCACAACCCCATGGACAATATCCCTCCAGGCTCTCCTGTCCCTCACCATCCCTTGGGGTCCACCCAAGCCCACACCCACTGCCCCAGTGACTCCATCCAGCCACCTCAACCTCTGCCGCCCCTTCTCCTTTTGCC